TTTTGATATCAAAATTATTTTTAAACTTTGAAAATACCACTAATTTAATTTTTAAATTTTAAAAATAAATACTAATTTAGTCTTAAATTTTAATTTTTGATATCAAAATTATTTTTAAACTTTGAAAATACCACTAATTTAATTTTTAAACTTTAAAAATAAATACTAATTTAGTCTTAAATTTTAATTATAAATATTAATTTAGTTTTTCAACTTTAATTATATATTGATTTGATGTATAAATAATAAAATATAATTATTTAATTTTATATATTTACTTTAAAAAAATTAATTTTTTAATAAAATAATAAATTACATGAAATTTTCATTAATAAAAACATTTTTTTTAATATTAGAAATTAAAATTTAGTAGTCAAATTATTATTTTAACCACAAAACTCCCGCCCCTCCTCGTGCGGCAGTTTGTTGAATAACTCGACCCGCCGAACTTTCCAGTGTTTTTGAATTTTTTTCTCTTTTTCTTTTTAATTTTAGACTTTCGTACTGTTTCTTTACTTGTGAGGAGCCTTAGAGCCTTCTTCAACAATCTCCAACCCTGCAGTTCCGTTCTTTTCCAAAACCATTGGAGCTACGTCGGGGCACGATTATGGCGACGGAGAGGAAGAAGACGAGGAGGAGCTCTGCACCAGCGAAAACGATGATCAATTCCGAGAGGACATGGAAGCACTCAAGCAAGCCTGTCTGAGAACCGACACTGACCCTAACGATATCCAAATCTCCCCCGCTGGTTGCAATTGTCCTCCGGCTTCGCCCCCACTTCATCTGAGAGTGATGATGATTTGGAGTTGTTCCGGAGCATACGAAGTTGTCTTGAGTTATCTGATGATGCTTGCGAGACTGTCTCTATGAAACCTTCCTACACTCCTCCGCCAATTATTTCGGATGAAGCTGAAGATAAGTTCCAGACTCTTCTCACTATTCAGGGGGCTTATATGTCTGCTGGTAAGTGTCAATTGGCTTTTCTTGGTTGCAGATTGCAAGTTTTGTCAATAATAATCATTCAAGTATGTTAATGATTGTTAGTGTTATTCTTTGTATCTAAGGTGTTAACCTTGCATAATTAAAAGGTTTCTCATTGTTGGGCAATATTGTTCAAAATTTGAAATAAAGGTTATAGTGAAATTGTTGAAGTTGGAGACTCAAGTTGCAGTCTGTGTTAAGCATAATTTATTAAACTTAAGAGACGTCATATTCACACACCATGTCTGTAGCAACTTTTTGTTTGAACTGAATTTGATTGAACATTTCTAAATTG